AAGAAATAAAATAAAGAGCTCAGTGCATGGAGGAAAGACACCAACCTGGATTTTTCTCAGACTGTTCATGATCTCTCCCGCTTCTGCTTCCCATTTCCAGAGAAGATTTACTGGGTTCGCAACCATGCCTTTGGCCAAGAGAACTTCCCCGTCATCCTGAGCATTCGGGGTGGGAAGAATTGCTTGGCCTGCTCTCCCGGGGCCTGGCCTGAGCTGCAGCTGGAGGTGAGGAGCAACGCGGCCCAACCAGAACGACGGTTTGATGATGCTTGAGAATATTTTTATCGGTGGTGTTGTTGCTAGGCACGTCCTACCTGCAGTGGTAAACTCTGAGGTTGGAAGCAGAGCCCTTGTGTGTGTGTGTGTGTGTGTGCGCGCGTGTGCGCGCGCATGCATGTGCACGTGGACAGGAGGGAGGGAGGGAGAGACATTATTACATCCTACCTTTGTATGTGTGTGTGTGGAAGCAACTCCTAACAAACCTTACCCCAGGTAACTAGGTTGGGAATCACAGCATTACGTGACCCATGGCCCTCCTCTTTTGTGGGTTTCTGTCTGCGTGAGTGCATGAGAGAGGCACCTGGATCACCTTCAGATGAACAAAATAAAAAAGAGAAAGTGTCTCTATCTCCTTGAGTCCATCTTGAAGAATGTGGTTGGTGTCATCTGCTTCACTCCGAAAGTCGTTGCAAACCCGAAGAAGACAAGACGAAAAAAGGGCATGACGTGATGGGATGGGCGGAAAGGCTGGTGGGAGGGAGGAGGCTGTGGACAGGCTCTTCCACTAAGACTTCTGCCGCAGCTAGCGGGACCGTGAGAGAACCTGGCCTCTGTGTCAGGGTTTCCCGTCCCCAAATGCCCCGGTTCTTACGAACAACCGTCTCTGCTGCTTCACTAACTTTCCTCCACTGCAGCTCCAGCAGGTGGGACAAGGTTGTCCCTCAGTAACACCTGTTAGCTCCTTAATTCATAATTGGAATCTCCTGAGGCATAATAAATATCAGTTTGCAAATAGTTCTGATAGAATGATTTCATTTTGGGGAAAAATTTATTGTTACTGTTTTTCAGAAGACACAAATTAGAAAGCTGCTGTCATAAATTTGTGCACAAAATTAATGCAAGCCACTCATTTAAACACCAGGTCAATCACTGTTTTGTAAGTTGCCCCATAAATGAAATGGTAGACATACAACTTAAGTTGTCGAGAAATGTGTATGAACAGCAGTATTTCCACACACAAATCATAATTTCTTTCTTCAATCCCCAGTCAAGTTTATCCTGAGGAACTTAGTAGTTTCTCAAGGACTGAGCTTCAAGAAGGTAAATGGGAAATTGTGTGGAAAACGCCATACTTGTGTCTCCCTACTCCACTACTCTACTCTGACCCTGGTTACCCTGTAGATTATTTTTCAGTAAGAAGAGTCCGACTGCCCAGTTCCACTTTATTCTCCCTGCAAGGAAACATGTAGCTGCAAGCTACCTTTACCATCAATAGCCACCCCTTGACTGACTTTGCTATCGGAAGCCCCTTACTGGGGGCCTTTCATGTAATTTTCTCCCTGGGCAGGCTGGAGAATGAGAGGTCCTTGGCCCCTTCCCAACAGAGAGGCATCCAAGAATGTATCTCTCCTCAAGACTGCTTCCCTCCCTGAAAAACCTCTTTTTTCTCCTCAGAGTGTCAACATCATGGACCTGTACAAAGATAGAGAGGCATCCACCCGCTTTACTTTCTTCCTAACTAATAAAGATGGAATATGGAGATTTGAGTCAGCTGCCCATCCAGGCTGGTACCTCTGCACTTCTTCCAAAGCCAATGAGCCCATTGGCCTGATAAAGGATCCAGGATCATCTCATCTGGTGGACTTCTATTTTCAGCCTGAATCTTAGCTGGCCTCTCCACCTCCCTTCGCAGTACAAAGCCCACTCCTTAACTGCAGGATCTCGCAGCTGCTCCCTTCTCTGTAAACAGATGCACATACTTTTGAGGAGGATTTCTGGAGTGGATCGTTTCTCAGGATGACAAAGCAGCAAGGGAGGGAAAGAGATGCAGTGTCTCTAGAGTAACAGGGATATTCATAGCTCACTTTCTGGATTCAGCTAACGGCCACAGAGTCATCTGCAGACCCCTAAAGCTATGGAATCCAAAAGCTGCCAGCCAGTTTCTAAGTTCTGATTTCCCAGAAAGAGAAATAATTAAGCACATTTAAAGTAACTGTATTTACTGCATTTAATTCTTTCAAAATATGCATTAAATTAAAAACTCATTTTTGTCTTAGCCCCACATACTTTTTGGAGTCTGTATTCAGAGGTCTATTGTAGCCTGTGACAGATCCACATCCTGTCTGTCAGCTCTGTAGGAACGCCTCGTCCTCCTTTCTCAGGTCCGGACCCTTCTCCCCAGGCCCTTACAAAAAACCCGTGCGCAATGAGGTACCAAAGCCTCTTCAGGGAAGGCTGCTTTAGAGCGTAATTGCAGGATGCAGGTGTGCATCACAGACCCAGAGGAAGTGCATTGGGCCACAAGTCCCACCTCAGGGTGACCTAACCTCCCTCAGGCAATTGCCCTGCCCAGTGCTGGCCTGCAGCTCCTGCCAGATTTGCCCAGAATTGGTCGGCCTTGGGCTGAAAGAGTTTCTTTCCCTGTTCTACTCCATCTTTTGTCCTGTGTTGCTTACCTTGTTTGGACACGTGGTGGATGTAGGAAAAGGTTCTGAAAGAACTGCCAACCCCCATCATGGTTGTTTGAAAGGAGTGAATGGAGTGGCAAGAAGGGGGAGAAGCCCCCTCCCTGCAACCTACTAGTGATGTCTGTGCTCTAGGATGGAGACTAAGGGAGCCAGGTAGGCTGAGGAAGATCCTCGTGGAGACTGAGGCTGGGAGCCTTTTACAGAAGAAAGTCAAGTGGACAATTGTAAGTATTGAGAAGGTGATGCAGAAGAGAAAGAAGTGGAGGGTGAAAGAAATCCTGAAGGTGCAGAAGAAATAATACAGTAAGTAAGGGGAATCCAATGAAGGAGAACATTAAAAGCAAGGAGGGCAGAGTGGTGGCATGCACCAGAATGCCTGGGAATGATGAAGATTCAAACAGACAATTTTCGGCATGACACTGAAGGGCCAGCTGGTGGAAAAATCGTAAACTGGATAAGAGGAATACAAAATATCAGGCAAAGTAGCTCCCTCCTGCCACACCGTCAGGTCAGGGCAAGGAAGGGGTGGCATTGAAAGAAGAAGGAAAGAAGGGTCAAGGCTGCTACTGTGATTGGCAGGCAGGGCAGTCGGGGTCATCAGTGTTTGCTATGCAATAGGAGCTAAATGCTGTGCGAAGAAACTTGGTGAGAGATCACAGCTTTTGGCTTGTGTGATCATCCCCAGCAGCCCTTTAGCTCCCTCCAGTAGCACCTCCAAAAGGGGAATGAGGTGGAAGTCTTGGTCTCCAGAACTGGAGTTAAACACTGAGCAGGGGATTAGAACTGGTTTGAAGTTCACTCAAGACCAGAGGAGGTGAAATTATTGGTTGAGAGGAAGAAGAGAAAAATGGGAGAGAGTGATGTTGGGGGGGGGGAATGTTAGGGAGCTGCAAGGGGTATAAGTTGACCGACAGTGTGGCTGATGAGTGAGTAGTGTCAAAGCAACCACTGGGTGAGAGTGTGGTATGGTTGAAGGAGAGAGGGAGGAACTGGGGTGTCTGTTATCTAGTGGCATCACAAGGAGGACAAGGGGGGATAACAATGGAAGTAGCATGACGCTGTTGTTGCACAAGCCCCACACTTTTGTAGGTACACTGTGACATCACACAGATGGACAAAAGGGACAGAGCTTGTGAAATGGCAAGATGCCGCTTTTGCTGTTTGGACAAAAGCCGCAAGATCCTGTGGTCACCCATGTTATCGTCCCCACAAACTGTTGGAAGGGAGGGTGAATGGAGAGGGTAGAAGGGGGTAAAGAGGGAAGGGTCACATAGAAGATGTGACCCCAGAGGGAGATATTTTGGGAGGTGGGAGGCAGCAAAGGAAACTTCTTCTAGCCCCTCACCTTGTCAGGAGCCAGGTACCATAGGCTTCAGTTGATGCTCTTAAATGCCAGGTCTGCCTGTAGTAAATCTGTCTTCATCATGATTCGAACTCGGATGAGAGACCTGGCATGCATTACCAAGACCTGGGTGGGTGAGCAGTGAGGCGATCCCTTCTCAGAGATGCGCATATCTGGGCTTTGGATGCTGCCTCAGCCACGGTCCTAAGGCAGAGGAGGTGGAGACTCCGAGAGTCCTATTTGTGAGGCTGTGTTTAAGAGATGCTAAATGTGTTGTAATTGTAACTGCTGCACAGCTTCATTCCCACATGAGCCGCTCGACCTCATGACAGGGATGGTGTTGGTGTTCCCTAGTCTTTGATTCTGGGGGACTTCAACTTACATTTCCTGGGGAGGGAAGAAACAGGATTGTTCCTGAGCGGCCTCTCTCTAGTTACCAATCTACAGGAGTTCCTTGACTTATTGGTCATGCTCCCCCAAACAGTGGCAGTTCAGATTGATTTATTAACTGATTTCTAGTTTTAATTTTCTGATAATACTGTAGGTCTCTGGAATTGGAGTACCATGTAAGTTATAGACGTAGAGAGGTGGATAGGAAGAGAGAGAGAGAGAGAGGATGAAAGGATTGGGGGGGGGGTTCATGGCAGTGCCATCCTGATCATGCCACTGCCTCCCTCCCTCCCTGCCTCCAGTGGAAAGGGAACAAATGCCAAGTGGCGAGTGATTGCCTCCCAGCCTCCTTAACTAGGAAGATTCAGAAAATGGCCATTTTCCAAGTTAACCTGCAGTCACGTGCCACTGGCACACAGGTGTAAGTCTAGGGAGCAAAAGATGGAGCCAGCTGGATTGCCTAAAAAAAGCAGTATTTCCATTACTGTACATAATTCAGGGTTTGGGATTATTTTTGGCATCTCACTAGGTACTTCCAAACAAGGCTTTTTTTCATGTAGTCCTCCTTCCTCATTCATGCAGTTTTTCAGGAGGTCCAACCAATATATTAATCTTGCAACTTCTTGTGGTTTCGTCCACAAAAAATAAAGGAGTGTGACATGACACAGCTGGATGACCAGACATGTTCTATCTTCTTGACCTCTGATGGTTGTGACAGTCCTAAAATTTTGAAGGGCCATTTTCATCCCCATTTCACATCTTGCCTTGTATTTGTGTGTTTAACAATTATGTTTGGTTTTGCAAGAATGCTTGTAGCAAGGAAATAAACATGTTTACAATAAGCCTGTACATCCTGATTTTCCCAAATCATATAGGTAACTTTTTTTTTTCTGATCAGCTCCACGCTAACATTCTGGCATTTCCAACTGCATTCAGAGCTAGGTTACAAAAATCACTGTGTCCTCAAATGTCCCTTTTTTCATTGGAAAGAACTCCTTTGAAACATTGGTTCCAAAAGCTGTTCCTTGAAAGGAGAAAACAGTATTTGAAATTAATGAGATGTATGTCAACTGTGCCTTCCTGCCTTTAGAAGAAAATAAACATAGGCAGCATTTCAGTAATTTCAGATTACCCATATTCCACATTGGTGAAATTAGAATCTTTTTTTCCATTTTTCAAAAAATTATTCAGTCTGCAATCTGAATGAAAAGGGTCTAGATAATTAATTTATTCTGGAGCTGAGGCCCAACCACCTTCCCTACAACATCACTCAAAAAAAGAAGTTGGAGACTGGATGAAAATTATCTAAGATTGCTGAGTTCAACAATGATTTCTTGAGAATGGGGTGCACACCACCTCTTTCAAGGCAGTCTGGCCCAGCACTTGAGGGAAGAGCCAGGTTTTTAGGCCCTGGCAGAAGGATTGGGGCCTTCCAAGCCTCAGGGTTGGAATTATGCTCCATAGGGCAGGCACTCGCAGCAGAAGGCAGGGTCCCTCAGTCCCACTAGGCGGCACTGTTTCATGGAAGGAACCTGAAGCAGGCCCGGCCGTGCTCCTGGATCTCAGGGGCTGAGCAGAGACAATTGTAGACAGATGGTCCTGTGTCATGAAGGGCTTTGCAGGTGATAACCGACACCTTGAATTGTACTCGGAATCTTTTAGGAAGCTAGTGCAGTGGTATTACAGCATCCATAATTACTTGCACTGCTGTATTCTGGACCAAATACAGCTTCTAGGTAGTTCTCAAGAACAGCCACGTGTGGAGAGCATTGTAGTTGCTTAAAAGAGAAGTAACTAGGGCATGCCTGACTGTGCTAAGGCTTCCAGTCTAGGAATAGGTGCAACTGACACACAAGATTGATCTGTGCAAAGGCCCTCCTGGCCACTTGCTCTTCTGTCAGCCTTACACAGTAGACCAGATCAAGAAATAGATGCCATGCAGGCCTAAAAGCACTCTTATTAGAATGGCTACAGTAACAGAAGCTTGCAAATCTGACTGTGCTTCCCCTCCTTCTTCTTTTATCCTACCACCCCACCACCCCTGGCAACTGGATAATGTTGGGAGACTGGGGCAAGTCCTCGATGGAGAGCAAGCTACTTCCATAAAGTCCTGCCCTCCCAAAACTTCCTTGTGAAAGAGGAGGAAAGGAAATGTTAACACAAAAAGCCTTTCTCCCTACCAGAGATGCCCATCTGGGAGCTATTTTTCCACCTGCACAGAGAAATGTACTCAATGGAGGTAAGCATGGAAAGACCTCTCCTGCCTTCTGCTGGAGTTAGGAGTTGGAGAGTATTAAAAAGTGAGGGACAGTTTCTCCCCACATCCTGCATGGGAAATGCATCCCACGCAGATGACCTGAGGATAAATGCTCCCAGGCGCCTGCATGGAGTGTAATTCAATGGGGGGAAATGGCAGTCCAGCTGGTCTGGCTTTAGGAAAAGGACGGGCCATCATCCCAGTCCTCTGCAGGACAGCTGTAGGACCTTCACAGCTTGCTCCCTTCCTGAGGGAGAGATCATCAATTACCAAAGATCTCAATTATGCATCAGGCTGAATAATTTATTTGCAGATGGGACTCCTTCAAGGCATTCGTTTATTTTAATCTGTTGTGCACACAATCCTCCTGGGATGTTTTGATGCTTGAACTGCAACGCAGTAACACGTTGAGGAACCCCAACATGCCACCCTCCATCAAGGCACTCTCCCACATTTATTTATTAGATGTATATGCCACCCATGCCCCCCTCCCATTCAATCTCCTTCGCTGAATAAGTGGGTTGGTTATTTCTCCGCTGTGCTGTGCTCCTTTCTTCTGAATTTTCTGTGACACCTCCTTCTTAAGTGCTCCCGCTAGATCCGATTTCGGTAGCGATTGTCCC